CACACAGAGCCAAGGCCTTTGCTGCTTTCCGTACTGCCACATGGCAAGGAAGTTGGGGATGCATGGGAGATTGGGAGGAGACACAGCTGGGACAGGTGACCCAAACTGACCAAAGGGATATTCCATACCATATGACATCATGCTCAGTGTATAAGGAGGGAGGAAGAAGGAGGAAGGGGGGACATCTGGAGTGATGGCGTTTGTCTTCCCAAGGAACCGTTACGCGTGATGGGCCCTGCTCTCCTGGAGGTGGCTGAACACCTCCTGTCTTTGGGAAGCAGTGAATTAATTCCTTGTTTTGCTTTGCTTGTGTGCGCAGCTTTTGCTTTCTCTATTAAACTGTCTTTATCTCAACCCATGAGTTTTTGTAGCTTTTACCCTTTGATTCGCTCCGCCATCCTGTTGGTGGGGGAGGGAGTGAGAGCCTGCGTGGTTCTTGGCTGCTGCTGGGGTTAAACCACAACAAGTAGTGACAGAAAAATAGCCTGAATAGGGGTGTCTTAGTGACCCCACCACTGAAACTTTTACAGACAGGTTAGACATGCTCTTGTCAGGTATGACATGGCATAGAATTCATCCTTTCAGGACAGGAGGATGGATTAGATGATCACATGAAATCCCTTCCAGCCATATGACTATTTAGAAGAACGGAATATATAGCCAGTATAATTTATAACCTGTTTCAGGTTTACAGCTTCTCTTCATAACTTCTTCTTGTCACCTTTACTGTTCTGTAATAAAATAACTGATGGGAAAAGGGGTTCTTTGCTGAATTACCCTTCTATGGTTTATATGAAGGAAACATTGAGAACATAGCAACTCCAAGCATACTGGACTCTTTGGGAGCCAGGCAAAGCTAAGTAAGCAGTGCCTACTCCATGCTATCAGTAGTTGCTTTACATAAGCAAACACATAAAAAGAGTCCCAAGTAGCTGCTTTTTCAAACAGCTGCATTTAAGCAAGGTGAAATTCATCCTATGTGACAAAACAGTGAGCAATTATATACAATAAAAGAACAGGTTGGGTTTTTTTCTGAACCTGAAATTAGTGCAATTTTCTTGATATAAAATAAGTAAATGACATAAGTACACACAGAAGAAAATGTGTGTGTGTATCATGTATGCTTGTATAACATGTGTGGCTATTTAACTACACCTAGGCATGTAGTGGATATGTAAATAATGCTGGGCCAATTTAATTACAGACACAAGCAGTGAAATGACTACTGATTTATATCAACAACATGAATGATTTGTGGATTTGCATAGAGCTAACAATTTATAGCCCAGTGACCTCAGAGTGCTTGTTGATGTAAGGATATTTTTGTCAAAGTTCCTCTGCCAGTCTCTAGTTGTTTCAGCTATTGAATCTTGTGTACATTTCAGATTTAAAACATTAGACTTACGTAATTTAAAATAAATATTAGGAGTCCTAGGGCAGATCTCAAGTTGCACCTCAAAATTTCAAAATATCTTGATATAGTATTTGCTTACACTGTTCAGGGCATTTTTCAGTGAAAGAAAAAGAGATAACCAACTGGATTTCTTTATTTTATTTTATTTTATTTTATTTTATTTTATTTTATTTTATTTTATTTTATTTTATTTTTGCCATATATTGTAATGCCTAGGTGGTCCACTAGGGGAATAAGTTCTGTCTTTGAAAAGAGAAGAAAACGACCGACAGTATCGTAGATTTAAGTAAGTATATGAGGCCAATTCAAAACAAGAAAGTTTAAGTTGCAAAGTCACACCTTTGCAGGGAAAGTTACTGCTTATTAGGCATTAACAGCATTCACAGTTTACCCCCACCAGCATAATGCTGCAAAGTTTAAATTAAACTATTAGAAAGATTACCAAAACAAAGGTTATTTATTAAACTCAGAAAAGTAAGATTACAAATAAATGCTATGCTTTTCCTTATCTAAAAGAAACAGTCATAATCATGTAACTGAAAATGCAAGCTGGTTTCTAAATTATCCTTTCTCAGATCTCTTCACTGAAAAAGATATCGCGCAGCACTAACCTCTGCCACATGGTGCTGTGTGATTAGAAGCTGCTGTCTGTACTGCTGGTGCTGCAGTCCTGGCCACAAGCAATGGCCATCTATGCTAAGGTGGGTGGGAATAGCTCTTTGTACAGCACAGCTTCTAGCTGAGACAGTCACTGCGTGGGGTGCAGGATTAAATTGCTTTGGAAGGCAGCACTTAGTTAAAACATATCTAACATCCCGGAGAGCTGATAAAATAGGTGGTCCTGAAGAGATTCATGCCCAGAATAACAGGCATAGAGAGCAAACAGAGAAAATGCTAAAAAGTCCTCTTAAGTCATGTCAATATCTGCACCAAAAACTAGTCTTTACTGATACATTTAAGAGTGTGAGGACAAATGTTACGCTGCATCTGACAGCGCAGAGCTCACAGCTCAGTGCTGAGAAAAGGGTCTCAGCAGAGCTCACAGCACAGCACAGCACTGCTCTGCAGAAGACAAGGCTGGAGGCAGACTTAGCACTCCACAGGAGTCCCAGGTAGCTGACAGAGGTCTCACACACTACCTGAAGCTGCATGAGGGTCTTGACAACCCCCCTCCTTCTAGAAAAGGCTGCATTACCATAGAAGCATCCTTCTCCTATGCCCAGCCTTATCTTCTCCCCTGCCTCCCTGAAAAGGCAAGAAAGAATCTAGCTCAGTACTTCTACACAGTAGGAAAACATACTGTAGAGCACCGAGGGCCAAAGGTCTGGGTCAACTGAGTAGTTTTGCTTACTTCTGTGAGCACCATATGTTGGCAAAGGCTCGGCAGCTCACTCTTCACACCTGCACAGGTGCCATCTATGTCCCCTTCTTCAGCAGCAGCACCAGTGGAGGAGAGAACAGCCCACTTTCCCAGCAGGTTAGTGAGGATTCCTGTGTCCACCTCTGTGTCAGCTTCTGGGGTTGGTTCTTCCCTGCTCTGCATATTTTCTGAACTTGTGAATCCTCCCACAGAGAGTTCAGTCTCTGACTTGTTTTGTGAGTTACAATCTCTCTCCAATTGCTTCTACTCAGCTCTTGGCACACTGTCCTCACACTAAAATCAGACCCTTCCCCACTCCAGAACCACACCAGTCTCTTCTCTCCCATTCTTGCATTGTTTCCCCAAGCCTGCAGCTTGGTCCCTCCTACAAGTCTCTTTTTAATGTCTTGCTTTGTCATTCCTCTTCCTCTGACCTAGAAGAGACACTTTTTTTGCCAGTTCTCTGCAGAAGGCCTTGATAAATTTGTTTTCCCACTCAGATTTCCTACTTACTGTTTCCAGGCACTTCCATTAGAATAGACAGCAGCTAAATGACTAACATTGCTGGTCCAAGAGAAATATGGTAAGAGAATACAGTTCAAGGTGGATATGTTGTGCACACTTTTTATGACAACTTCAGAAAATTGAGAATACAGAATTTGTTCAGAGATCAAACCTGGAGATGTAAGTCGGTCCCCTCATGTCATGAAAACTTTTGTATTTAGTGGCACAATAGACCCAAATATTCTCAAGGTGACCGTTCACCTGAAAATGTTGGCCTGTCACCAAGGTTCAGCTATTACAGTTAATTGTTAGGAGTACTGCCAACAAGTCACGTCAGCCACTTAGCAGAAAAGACTGAACACTAGTGTGTGCATTAATTAATTCTCAGTGGCTGTTTGAAATCTGAGGCAGTCAGGTTTTTTCAGGATGGGGGTTATGTTTCTTGCTCTGTTTTGTTTGCTCAGTGACAGTGTCCTAGTCCATGAGGAGATTCATATTGCCACAGCAATACAAATCTCAGGGATAATACTTATGGATGAACTTGTCCCCCTAGGAATGTTTGGCTACCTCTCCAACCATTTCTACTTCCCGTAAGTTTTATCCAGGTAGATACAAGCCAAGAAAAGTCCTCATGCTCCTTACCTTAGTGTAGGAGCTGTGATTATCCTTTGCGCAAGGTGGCAGTAAAAGAAAGCTCTTCAAACCTGTTCTTCCCTCCCCTGCACACCTCCTATTAAGGAGAGTAACTGCTTCAACTTTATTAATTGCATTTTTAAAACCACCTATTTCTAGTGGTCAATATATGTATGAACAATACATAGTTACTGATATCTTTCACTTTGGTAACACCATCACACTTCACTCTCCTTTTTTTACCCAGGGGAAAGGCTAGAAAATTGCATGCAAAGAAAGGAAAGCCGCAAAACAAATCCCCTTAAATCTCTGATGCTTCATTTCTGAATTTATTTTTTAAATAGGATTCTTTTTCAATGAAAACTCAATTGCTTTAGAAGAAAGGATCAAGTCCAAGACAATAAAAAAAAATTACAAAAATAATTACAATGCTTAATTAAGCCATCTTCATGCTATCTGACAAATTGTGATAGAAGTACTAGTGGTACACTGTGTTTCAGCACAGTAATTTTGTTTTTCTATAGGAATAAGTAGTCTGAAGAATCTGAATTATAGAAATCGCAGCTAGCAGCTACCTAGATGAACAGCAAAGTGTGGAGTCAACCCCACTAGTTCTCCTGACCCTTATTAGCATTTGCTGTTTGGATATTTTTAGAGGTGTTTTTCTCTGCTTGTCATTTTGAGGAACAGTTATTTTGTTCTCCTGGAGCCCAACATGTGTTGAATGGAATGTTTTACCATAAATATTTGAGTTGACAAAGCTTCTTTAAGGTTTACTAAGCCTCAAAATATTCCTAACACATCTTTCCCCTATGGAAGAAAACCTTAGGTGAATATTTAACAATCTTCATAGAGTTAGACTCTGTTAAAGTCACTAGAGGTAGTTCATTGACAGTAAGCCTCTGATATAGTCAGTATTGAACTAGAAGCAGAATGGTTGCTATAGTATCTTGTTCTAATATTACTGAAATATGCCAAGCAAACGGTTTGTTCATCCCCCCTTTCTGATTGCCAACTATTCCTAAAATTTAAACCTAGACTGCTGCTTATCTTGAAAAAGTAGCCATCATTCACTTTCGAAGTACAATATAGTGTGTTCTTTATTCAGAGATGTGGTAAAAGAATAGCCAGTTAACTCTGGATATGAACATTCTCCCCAACCTTAAAGTTTGTCTTGATGACTGTAACCTTATTCCAAAACCACTGTTTTTAAGAAAAATTAATTTCAGAACTTGAAGAATCTTTTATTATGGAATACAAAAATACTATCTATGTAAAAACAATAAGTTAGTTTATTTACAGTACTTTACACTATTCTGCTCTAGGGCTTCCTTTGCACTGGACTAACTTCCATTATTTTACAAGCCTTTATAATTTTGCACAAAGCATTTCCAATAGCATGTCATCCATGTTCACCACTCCAATGATGGGCCTAAAGAATAATTCAGCAATCATATTAGCGTTAATAGATTGTAACAAGGATAGAACAACATTCAGCTTGGCAAATCTGGCTTCATCACCTCTGTGAGTGAGTCTGACATGTTCATTTAGAGCTGCTTGTGCTTCCCTCTGCAGTCCTTCAATGTACTGTGTGCACTGCAGTCCAGGTAGATCTGAAAAGAATAACAAATTATTTTGTTTACATACGTTTTGTTTATAAAAACCTTATTCTTACAGAACAACTACTAATAGGTCACAGATTGTAATTATCACTCAAGGAAAAAAGGAAAAAATTGCTAGAGGACTTATTGTATGCAGAATCAACATGCCAAATTTTATTGGGTAAATCAAAATCTTCTCATGTTGGTGTTCTGGACATTCAATACTCTTCTTCACTACACATGCTTGAAATAGGACATTTGTCAACATTCACTGAAGTGTTAAATTAGTTGATAAAAACTTTGATTGAAGAATGGTCTCCAAAACACCTTTACAGTGGAGAAGACAACAAAAATAACTTAAGTTGTTCACTTCTACAAAATTAAATTCACATTTAAGGCTCTTTTGATAACTGTTTCTGCTCCAGTTTACATGTGGCAAGACATACTGACTCCAGCATATGACAGAAAGTTTTCCAGTGAACCCTAGTAAGAATACTGAAAGATGGAGGGGGCAGAATTAAGGCTATAGGTGACCACAGAATCATTAAGGCTGGAAAAGACCTCCAAGACCAAGTCCAACCATTAACCTAACACTGCCATGACCACCACTAAACCATATCCATGAGCACCTCACCTACATATTTTTTAAACACTTTCAGGGCTGGTGATTCAACCACTTCCTTGGGCAGCCTGTTTCAATGCTTGACCACCCTTTCAGGGAAGAAATTTTTCCTAACAGAACAATGCTTCTATCTTTTTGAATTGGACCAACTTCAGAATTTGACTTGTCTAACATAAGGTTGGCCATTGCAACGTTTTCTTTCTTACCTGTACAGAAAGCAGAGCTACACGAGCAGAACGATAAATGCAAAGGAACACTATAGGAACCTAACCATCAACAGCAAACAGCTGGACAGAGCGCAGAAGGGCCCTGTGCCACTTTCACAGGCTGCTATAGTTGGAAACGCCGTATGCAGCCTGCCAGCTGAGTCCCCGACACGGTAATAGCTCCCTTGGTACAGCTGCAACTATGCAAGTCTCCACAAAGAGTGATGGCCAAAACCCTCACCGTAAGTGCTACACACAAAGCCAAAACAGCGCTTTGCTGCTGAAAGCCCTGAGCCTCCCCTTGCTGCCCGGGGCGCGCAGCCGCCGCCCTGGGGCGGCGTGGAGTGTCCCGAGCTCCCAAACGACCAGGGAGCTGCTGCCGACTCCGAACTTCCCCACAGCGACTCGCAGCAGCCTCGGGTTCGCTTTGTTCGTGGGAAGCATCCGTGGAAGGTGCCAGCCCTCGGCGCTCCGAGGAAGACAGAGGGATCACCTCGCCCTGCGTCCCCTTCCTCCACCACCTCCTCCCCCGAGGAACGGCCCCGGCTGTGCCCGCTCCGCTGGGCAGAGCCTCCTGGCCCGGCCCCGCGCGGCCACTCACCCGGGTTGAAGAGCACCGTGCCCTTGAGGTACGCGTACTCTTTGGTGCTGATGTCCAGGCTCCAGCACTTGGCCAGGAAGCCCTGGACAGC